ACCCACCACCGCTGCCACCATCCCAAGCTCCAGGCTGAAGAGGCCAGGCAAGGTGGTGGCAGAGTAGGGTGTGTGAAAATGAGACACCCCCAGTTGCTGCCACCTCCCTGCCACCCACTCGACCCACCATTGTGGGAAGGGAAGCCGCTGACTACCACCACCATTGGTCTGTGCTTTGCCCACCCACTCACTCCCTCGCCAGCCCAACTCTCCCTCTGGCTGCCCAAGGCAAGTTGTCGCAGTGGTGAATTGGTCTTGTGGAGTTGTCCTGTGGTGGTGAGTTGGAAGAAGTGACTTGGCAGTGGCGAGCTGGTGGCTGCATCGAGCTGGCCATGCCAAGTTGTCCCGTTCTACTCTGCATATTCCTTGGACACAAAGATGACTAACAAGCAAATACTGGAGTGCATAATACCAAACATGTCACTAGAAGAGAAAATCACGAAACTGTGTCTCATTTATTTTGGTCATGTCATGTGGGGGAATTCATTAGCGAAAGCAATTATGTTTGGAAGAGTTAACAATAAAAGGAAACCAGGCCATCAAAGAACACAGTAGCTGGACACTATCAAAGCTGACACCAGTCAGGACATAGAAAAACTCAAAGGAATAGTGCAAGATCGGAAGATGTAGAGAGACCTGGCTTATAGACTCACCAAGAGTCAGATTCAGCTGAACGGATAACATCATCATCATCATCATCATCATCATCATCATTTTATTGTGCATTCTAAACAATATAAGAAAACTACTGTTTAAACACAGATTTTTTTTTTACAAAAGAATGCTCTGGATAATTGAAGGGCTATAGTCCTAGAATCTAAATAAGTAGAGGTATGAAAAACATTTTGAATTTCAAACACTAGGACCTTGTTTCAGACTTTGAAACAAATATACCAGGCTTGAAACATGTACTTGCAACCTCACTAAAAATGTCCTGATGCTGGTCCAGTCATTTCACAAGTTCAAAATGGGTCTATTTTGAGTTCAGCATAATTAATTTGGGATCAGATGGACTGTTTTAAGCTTGAAATGAGATTCCTGGAGATTGAAATAGTTTGGAATATTGGAATATTTCTGGCATAAAACATTTCCAATTCAAAAGATTTTGCGTACCACTGAGAATAACCTTTTGATTAATTCAGTTTTGGAAGGCAAGACCGATCTCATTAACAGATCAGCAGAAATAACATTTCAACCTAAGAGCAGGCCAACTACTATCACTGATCTTAGAACAATTATTATTATATTTTATATTTTTATAGATATTTATTAGTATTATATAAGTCTGTTATTCATAACTGAGCAAAGAATTATGCATTTGGAGTTTTAAACAAGCCGAATTTTATATATAAACAAGGCATACACTGAATTGTTATTTAGAGTCTGCTATATCGCTGAAATAAGTCTGTCATATTTTGGCAGCTTCAGTCAGACTCTGACTTAGATGTACTCATTCGTTCAGTTTCTATCCCATCTTTCTATTTAATCAGATATTTAAAGCAGCTATTGTAACAAAACTAAAGAAAATGTGAAAAAATAATATAAATTAAAAATAATGCTCAAATTAGTTAAAGGTTTTAGCCAGATAAGCAAGAAACTTTTTCTTATTTTTTGCAGCTGACAAAGAATTAAGCCAGAGAAGTTACTTTCTTATGAACCTTTACAAGGGGGCATTTCTGCAAGGCTGTTCTTCAGATATTAACTTCTTGGTGGGATAGGCAATTCTCAGTGAGATTACAAGAGGTTTAAAGCTTTAAGGATGAATAACAACACTTTAATTAATCAGTTGACAACTTATGCACATTTTTCATTCAGGCATCATATCATCCCAGTATCTTACCCTGATTAAGATCCTAACTTCTGTATGTAAGATATTCTATATCAATGTGAATGGAAGCATGGAGTGGGGTACATCAGGGTTCTGTCTTGGGCCTTATGCTGTTCAACATCTTCATCAATGACCTAGATGAGTGAAGGGGCACTGCAGATGAAACCAAGCTTGGGGGAGGGTGGGGGAATTGCTAATACTCTGGAAGATAGACTCAAGATTCAGAAGGATCTTGGTAGACTATCCAATAAAATGTAGTTCAATGGTGAGAAAAGTAAGGAAAAAAGTATTTTTCCAAGACCTTCCTGAAAATAGCAAAACTACAACCATCAAAGCTGCTGTGACTTGGCTATGTTTCTTCCCTCTAATAGGGTCTTGGAGGTCTTCTAGTCCAACCCCCTGCTCAGGCAGAAAACCCTATACAATTTCAGACAAATCTCTTCTTAAAAACCTCCAGTGTTGGAGCACCCACAACTTCTGGAGGCAAATCACTCCACTGATTAATTGTTCTAACTGTCAGGAAATTCCCCCTTAGTTCTAGGTTTCTGTCTCTCCTTGATTAGTTTTCATTCATTGCTTCTTGTTCTACCTTCAGCTGCTTTGGAGAATAGGTTGACCCCCACTTCTTTGTGGCAGCCCCTTAGATATTGGAACACTGCTATCATGTCACCGCTACTCCTTCTTTTCATTAAACTAGACATACCCAATTCCTGCAACTGTTCTTCATATATTTTAGCCTCCAGTCCCCTAATCATCACTGTTGCTCTTCTCTGCAGTTTCTAGAGTCTCAACATCTTTTAAATAACATAATGAGCAGAACTAGATGCAGTGTTCCAAGTATGGTCTTACCAAGGCATTATAAAGTGGTTGTAACACTTGATCATGATTCTATTCCTCTGTTAATGCAGCTTGGACTGCTTTGGCTTTTTTGGCAACTACAACACATATTTAAGTGATCATCCACTAATACTCCAAGATCCTTCTCACAGTTAATACCATTGAGCCAGGTACTTCTTTTTTTTTTTTTTTTTTTGCTCTTGGGTAAAAACAGAAAGACAGATGCAAACAATGAGTTAAGTAATTCTACTTTCTCCCTGCTGCTGTTACCTTCTTGTCATTTTCTCCCATTATGGCCCAATAATTTCCTTGACTTTTTTTTAACATGTTGAAAGAAGCTTTTGTTGTTGTTATTTTTGGCATTTGTCACCAGCCTTAATTCATTTTGAGCCTTAGCTTTCCTGATTTCATTTTTTTTCAGGTTCAGGCTATATGCTGATATTCTGCCTTAATTATATGCCCCTCTTTCCACTTTTTATACTTGTCCATTTGTCTTTCAGTTTAATAGAGAGTTCTTTGTGTAGCCATGCTGGTTTATTTTGAGATCTCTTATTTTTCTTCTTCATTGGAATTGTCCTAGACTGGGCTCTTATAATCTTGCTTTTCAAAGTTTCCCAAGCTTCTTGGGTTATTTTCCCATTGAGGATTCTCATCTAAGGAATTCTTCTCAAGTTCTCTCTAAGTTAATTGATAGCAGCTGTCTTGAAGTTCAAGACTCTAGTTTGACTTTGTTCTATTCCTCTATTCCTTACTGCAGGACTTGGGTTTGGCTAGTCTAGAGAAAAGAAGAAATAGAGGAGACATGATAGCAGTGTTCCAGTATTTGAGGGGCTGCCACAAGAAGAGGGGGTCACGTTATTCACCAAAGCACCAGAGGGCAGGACAAGAAACAATGGTGGGAAACTGATCAAAGAGAGAAGCAACCTGGAATTAAGGAGAAACTTCCTGACAGTGAGGACAATTAACCAGTGAAATAGCTTACCCCTAGAAATCATGGGCACTCCATCACTGGAGATTTTTAAAAAGAGGTGCTAGACAGTCACTTGTCTGAAATGGTATAGGTTCTCCTGCTTAAGTAGAGGGCTATACTAGAAGACCTCAAAGGTCCCTTCCAGTTCTATTCTATTCTATTCTATTCTATTCTATTCTATTCTATTCTATTCTATTCTATTTATGTTGAATTACAATATTGCACAGTCATTCTCTCCCAGGGTTCTTCAATCCCTTCTATAATTTTATCCCTGTGAGTAAGAATTAAATTCCATATGACTGGCCCTCTAGTTTCCTTCTCTACCTTTCCTATAATCAATAGGATGCAAGTCATGTTATTGCTTAATTGCTTTCATGCTATTTCTCACAACACGTTTATTCTCTGAATAAACAGGACTTTTTACAGTAAATTAAAGAGAGAAATAATTTGTTCCAATGTAAATTGCCTTTCTACTTGGAAAAGACATGCAAATAATACCCTTGATTATTCTAGTATAGTAACTATGTAATTTGACTATTGCTATGAATCCTCTAGTGCTGCTTTTATTATACCTAATGACATGCTAGAATTCCATACCTCATTCCATTGCTGATTATTTCCAAGAAAAGGTGCACTGCTGTGAATAAATATTTAATTTTTCATGTATTATAGCCCCCAAACCTGGTATGTTCTTCTCCCATGTTTACTTTCTTCTTGTTCTATGTTAATATAACGTATTTTTATTGTTTATGTTTAACTTATTCCAATAATAATTCCTCTAGTGATGTTAGTATGCAACTGCGTAAATAAACGAGAGAAGATTATCTTAAAATGGATGTTCCTCATTTCTTGGAAATTACAATGTTTCAAGCATTTGTTGTTCCATATTTTGCTGCTCTTTAAACTTTGAGAATGTCTCTTTATAATAGCATTTTAACTAAATTACTTCAGTATTAGTCAAAAGAAATCCTAAACCATGATCTAAAAATATACATTTCTTTTTTGGTTATGGCAGATGTTTACCCATGATTTTACCTGGCTTCCATCTTTATTTTGTTGTCTTTTTTAAAAACCACCGAAAAATATTTGGAAGTTCAGGAATTCCCAAAAGTAAACATAACAGTATACCTTTATTGTGTATTTTTATGTGCTTTTTTATCTTTTCCTACTCTAAATCCTTATTTTCCATCAAGAATTGCTGAGAAGTAGAGAAACTGCAATCAAGTATATTTAAAAAAATCAGTTGGGAAGGCTGATTTTTAACTAAGCAACCAATGTTAAAAGATGCTCACAAAATCTATTAGCTGAGGATTTATTAAATCCATTTTCAAAATGTTGATACATAAGGTTTTGTTTGTGTTTCAGAATTCATACCCCAGGCTTTTGGAATGCCTTTATCACAAGTAATAGCAAATGATCGGGTACACAAATTGAAGCAAGATATTCATAGAGAAGAGCAGAGAGATGTTTCAGAATTTGTAACATCACTTTTACCTTTTGGGAGTAAAAGACAGAACAAAGAACTCTCAAGCAGTAATTCATCTCTTAGTTCCACCTCGGAAACACCAAATGAATCTACTTCACCCAATACACCAGAACCAGCCCCCAGGGCACGGAGAAGAGTAAGTGCCTATGCATTGCTTAGTGGTTAATGCAAGTATTGTGGGACTTTCCTTTGGAGTTTCTGATTTGCTAGTTTATACTAAAATTAAAGTCAGCCCTGATAGAAATGATTATTTTAATGGTCATTGCCTTTCCCAGCTGTTCGTGGGAGAGAACAAAATGGGCAGAAATCTCTTGTGAGGATCTCAAGGAACATAAGGATTCTTTGGAACTTTTCTTTTCTCCAGTCAGTCTCCAGTTAGTATTTCAAATTACTAAAAGCCAAACTCATCTGTCTGTTGCGCTCTCTCTCTCTCTCTCTCTCTCTCTCTCTCTCTCTCACACACACACACACACACACACACACTCACACACACAGATATTTCTTCATCTCATCGCAGCCTCAAATATGTTTATAGTATAAATATAGTATCATCTTCTCCTTGCTCCTACTACTGATCAGACCTGTCTGGCTAGACCATTCACAAGGCAGCTGCTGGCCTCTCAAGGCCTTCTTTCTCAGGTCACATATGGAAACTGACACTCATGACTGTAACTTGGGGACTGGGCATAAGCACCATTTATTCAATGCTGCTGTAAGTTTGGTTTCTGAATGAGTGGTTGTAACTCAACTATCTGTAATACTATTTCTTTAAAGAGAAGATGGCAAGAGTACTTGATGCTGCTTTTGAAGACTGTAGTTAAGGAGTTTTTGATAACTGAGGGATGCAATAATTATAGTATTTAGCTCATGGACTTGTAGAGATTATGTATTTTGGGACCCATATTGCCTTTAATAACACTATAGAAGAAAATATTGCTTATTTAGTTACTTTTATAGATAATAAGAGAGCTGTTTCATATTATATGCTATATTTTGTACCTCAGAAGTCTTTTTGAATAAAAGTAAAGCTTCATTGTTTCAAGTACCAACTATATACACTTTTTAAATTGCTGCTATATGAGGGATATGAAGACCAACGAAAACTGAATACCATACAACATTTCTATTACTTTTGTTCAAATTAGCAAAGATGCATAATCAGCTACAGTATCTTTCTGGGCAATTACAATTATAGGCAGAGTATTGGAGGTTGAACAGCCATGCCCATGGTTGCTCCAGAGTGGGGTTCTATGTGCTGTTTAATATCTGCATGAAGCCATTGGTGGGGGGGGGTCTTGGTTGCAATATCACCAGTATGTGATGATGCACAGTTGTATATTGCCATCATAAACTAGACCATTGATTTTGTTAAGTTCTGAACTAGTGTGTAGAGGCTGGATCAAAAAAAGTCAAATCCCTGTAAGACTGAGATGCTAAAATGGCCTTTTGGGGGCTGGAATTACTTGACAACAATGATTCATGCCCTCATCACCTTGCAAATAAACCATTGCAATGCATTCTATATTGGAGGTCACTTGGAAGCTACAGTTGATCCAAAATGCAATGGCCCTCTTGCTAATTGTTGGTAGGAGAATTATAATGTGGACACATGATAAGATCACCTTACTGTTCATTGGTTTGCATCCAAATCCAGTTTACAATACAAGTCATCACCCATGAAATCCTGCAAGCTCAGCTCCTCATAATTATAGGACCATCTCCATGACAATTTAAATGATATGCAAGTAATAGTGTCCAATAATCAGTTAAAATTAAATTAAGTAATTTTCATTCTATTCATAAAAACAATTAACAAGAAATTTTGACATCAAATTTTGTCACCATAATGTGACAAAAATATGCCCAAATGAATTTTTTCCCCATGGTAAATCTCTTCTTTTGTCAGTAAACACTGAACAAAAGTTGAAGGATTTCTCACCAAAACAGTTGTTTTACCTGTTGTATACTTCAAGTTGCTTCAGCATACACATATCTGCATTTAATTATCTATTTATTTACTTACTTATTTGCTTACTTGCTTACTTACTTACTTAGTTTCATTTATATTCACACAAGAGTAAGATTTTTTTTTCTACTACCTTAAGAATCTCAGAGACCATTACAGGTTATGATCAGAGCAGAACATTTGGCAGAGGTATATATTTGCAGACACACATACACTATCAACACTGTGACAATCCGAACTGAAGCCATTTTCATTTTGTCTTTGTTGCCACATATTTAGTTAGAAGAAGGGGGGGTGTAGTTTTCAGCCAAAACAATTCACATGTATGGGAATCAAGGTCATTGCTGATAACATTTTGGCAGGCTGGAGCAACTGGGAGGAGTACCTGTGTTTTCTAACAATTGGTGAATGTGATTTATGACAGTAAATTGGGGTGGGAATTGCAACTTGCAAATTTATAACCAAGGGGAGGGGAATTTAGTCTTGGGTTCACCTTTGTATGTTCTGTATGTTCTTTTAATTGGCCTCATCTATCGGAACCATGACATACACACTGATACATTTCTCATCAAGCAATTAGGATTCACAGAAAAATGCAGTCTTATAACTACTGAAGAATAAACAGTTGAGTAACGATAGATAAAATTAAACTATTTGAGAGTAGAAATACACAAGCTCGTAATATAGCTCTTAATGCACATTTTCAACATACTATTTTAATGTTTATCTGTATTTAATCTGTAATGTTTAATTTGTATTTCAAACTCTGTATAAACTGTTTAATTTTTTGTTATTTGCCTCAAATACGTGCCAGAAGAAATTAACTAATAATGATACTAACACCTAGTAGATGTTTTTTTTATTGAAAATTTTTATTTTTTAAAAACATACAATCATTTATAAAAATACAATAAAATTTTAAAATAGAGAACCCCCCCCCTTACCCTCCCTCCCACCCCCACCCCCCTCCCTTCACTTCCCAGAGCAGAATACAGGGTTAAGAAAAAAAAAGAAAAAGAAAATTATAATAATTAAAAAAAAAGAAAAAAAAAGAGAAAGAAAAAAAAATATCATAATTAACCTTTAACTCCATAACTTATAAAACAATTCTCTATAATATTTGATATTCATTCATAAAATAAATAAAACTTTTTAATTCCATATTTTTTCTGAATATAATCTATCCACCTTCCCCATACAGTAATATATCTTTCTTGTGTATGATCCTTTAAATAAGCAGAAATTTTTGCCATTTCTGCAAAACTAGATACTTTAAATATCCATTCTTCTAAAGTAGGCAAAGAATCTTTCTGTCAGAATCCAATTATATTTCATCTTTAATTATCAAATATAGAAACTCCCAATTCTGCCATCTCTGGATTCTGCCATAAGAGGGAGAGAAGGGGGAGAACAAAGGGGCTTTATGGCCCTCACTTCCTTCAGTACACTTCAAAGGGCTGAATGTTGAATGTGTGTTTATTGTAACCTCGAAGTGTTAGCATACCAAAGGAGAGTATTTGCCTTTCATGTAGTTATCTGAAGTCTCCATCCAGACGGAAGAAAGAAGAAAAGGGGTGGAATTGTGATACTTGAAACTATCACTGGAAGGGGGGTTGATTGGGTGGGACTACTGGGGAACCCCTTAAAACCTTGAATGGAGAGCTTGAACCCCAAGTCCTGTCTAGCATGCCTGCAACCATTTTCTCTTAATAAAGGATTCCTGTTGGAAGAATTATTCCAAGAGTTCTGTCTTCTTAAGATGCAAAGTGGGGTGGGTCCTTACATTAGACAGGACTTGCAAAATTAATCCACCTGGAAGGGAGACCCTTGCCGGGGGATTTTGCAAAAAATTACCATGTCAGACAACGGAGCAAGAGAGGGGGAAAACTCCCTGGAAAGAGAGCCGCTGACCCAGTTGGAACCTTGCCAGATGTTGGAATCCGAGAGGCCAGATTCCTCAGGAGAAGAAGTGGTGGAGACACAGGACCACAAGCCTCGCTGGTCAATGGGCGTTGGAAAGAAAAGTGAGTGGGGAAAGGAATCAAGAAAGGTGACCCTGAGACGGGGGACCAAGCAACCAGAATGGAAGCAGGAGATGGAGAAATCCCTGCACGCAAGTGAAGAGGGAGGAAGCTGGGCACCGTACTCAGACTGGATCCTAGAGAAAGCTATTGACCTGATGAAGAGAACTCTCAGCTCCCTAGGAGAGGAGAATACTGAGCCCTACGGCCGCCCCAGTTCCTGGAGCCACAAAGGGAGAGACACCGAGGGGGACGTGGAACCTGCAACCCCAGGGACATCTACTGATCCAGGAGCCCCACCCCCTACCGGACCACAGATGGCAATCTGGACGGAAGACACTACCACCCACAACGGAGGCACCGATCCATTCCAAGACGTCCACCGTTGGAGGTGAAATTCAAAGGGGAGCCAACACGCTTGGGGTTTTTCCTAACCCAAGTCCTCAGCTACATGGAGGAATATGGGCAGGATATTCCCAGCGACAAAGCCCGCATCCGGATCGTGCAATCTGCCCTGGATGGACCAGCTGCGGATTGGGTAGTGAACTTGCATGACTCCAATGCCCCAGAACTCAGTAACTTCAACCGTTTCATGTCCTCTTTGAGAAGACGATTTGAAGACCCCTGGCTGATCGCAAAGCCCGTGAAAGAATAACAACGATGAGGCAGGGCAAACGCCCAGTGGCCGAGTATACACAAGAATTCCGGGCCATTGCCAGCAAACTGAATTGGCCAGAAGACATCCTCCTTGGCCATTTCAAAGACGGACTAAACTATGATCTATATGATGCTTGCCTGCCCCGAGGGGACCCACATCGACTTGAGGAATGGTACGTCTTGGCAGAGGAAGCAGAGATCGACATATTGAAGAGGCACCGCCGAAGAAAACAATGGAGCCGCCCCCCGCCTGAGCTGACACACCAACCGGTGAAATCATCGGATACAGCCAAGAAGCAAATGGGGTGTTTCAAGTGCGGAGAGAAGGGCATCGAGCTGTAGAATGCCGCTCAAAGGCCCCCCAGCACAACCCCAGACAGATCCCCAATCAACAAACCCAGAGAGTATTCAGCTAAGCCAAAAGAAACAGCCATGAGAATGATGGAAATTGCAGAAACCCCCACCTCTGCTCACCAAGGGGAAAGAACTCCA